TAAACCTTGAATATTATATGGTCAGGTTCCCGATTCCATGGAAACATCCCATGAGAATCATACAATCCTCCACACCCCTATACCTGGGAGAATATTCTGTTATCCTGAGATTCTGAGGTATCCAATTTCTGAAGTATATATTCAGCTTTCTATTATATAAGAGACTAAGGCCTCCTTGTCTTCCCCAGTTTTTTCCTCACTAGTCTCTCTTTCATTCTTTCTCTCACATTCTCAAAGTGGTTTATAAATTGAATTGTAGAGACCAGATGTTTGAATAGCATCCGTGAAATTCAAAGCCAATGTGACAGAAGGTAATAATATAGAAAAGCTCTTACAAATCAATAAGAAAACCCACGAGTACAGGAGAGGAAAATGGGAAGAAGCGTAGCAGACAATTTCACAAGAAGAAATGCAGGCAGCTAATAAACATGTGGAAAACAACCATTGAAAAGACCTCACTAAGAAAGTAATAAATGTAAAAATTTACTACAAGATGCGGTTTGGCCACATGAACTAGCTAAGGTTTTAACAACACCCAATGCAAATAACAATGGCTGTCACCCAATACTGGAGTAGCAATAATACCAACTGATAGTGAAGCGAATAACATTTCCCTCGCAGCACTGTTGTGTCAATGTCATGCCAAGCCCTTGGCAGGTTGCCTGGTGACACAGCTATGAGAGAATGCTTTTCATTTACCATTACCTGGCAAGGTAATTTGGTTACAAACTGGAATTTGGCAACATGTGTGGAAAAGGCTAAGAAGGTCATACCTTTTGACTAACAATCCCTGCCCATGCTGCTCTAAAGACACGTAATCAAAGGCGTCTGAGCAAGGACATTTATCATGGTGTAATCTGTAATAGCAAAAAACAATGAAACCACTTATATACCTGCAAGAATAGGAGAAAAGAATGAAACAAATTATGATACATTTTATATAATGTATCTTTTTTTTAATGTTTTTTTATTTATTTTGAGACAGAGACAGAGCATGAGCAGGGAGGGGCAGAGAAGAGGAGACACAGAATCGGAAGCAGGCTCCAGGCTGTCAGCACAGAGCCCGATCTGGAGAAAGCAAACTCACGAACTGTGAGATCATGACCTGGGCGAGAAGTCGGACTGACTTGACAACAAACTGAACCACCAAGCCCTGTATATCTTAACCTGTCTTAATATCATGCTCTTGAAAAGAATAATTGAACTTCTGGCAGGAGATAATACTCACAATAAAAAAATTAGGAAAGCAGGACATAAGTTTTATGTACAGAATATTCCAGATGATGACTTTTTGAAAAAAGTATTTCTAGGTAAACGCTGACTTATAAATTCAAGTGACTTCAGGAACCCATGGAAATGGCAGGGGAAACAAATAACCAGTATTAGGGGACTGAGGTAAACCAGAACATGCCTGGCTCCACCTAAAGGCAGTTAACTCAGCGTTTGAGGCCGAGCAAACCACTATTGCCCAGGATAATGGCCCAGGGGTCTTGAGTTTGCAACCCACCCCTGAATTCCAGGAACAGGAACAAGACAGTCAGGTCTCAGATTATGGGGATTTTATTTCTTCTTCATCCTCTACAAAAGTTCCAAATTGCCTGTCCAAATGAACATCAACTACTTGTATAATCAGAGGAAAAACAGGTAAAAGTATATGGTTCCCTTCCCAGTAGGACTGGTTGGTCAAGCACATGAAGAAATCAGACCAAAGACAGAGAGGATGGATGCTTTTCACCACAGTTCATCTTGTTGCACCTGGAGCATTCAGTGGCACCTGGATTCTGGAAATGGGGAGCCCTCCCTTCTGAGCTGGAGTCCACACAGGGCCCAAAGTTACGGCAGCATCTGTGGTCTGAATCTATGAATGGCATCCTGGCTTTGCCCATACCAAATGGGTGATTATTTGGCAGGAAACGCAAGTCTGCTACCTATCGATGATAGGCCTTGAAATAGGGTTAAAATAGTGAAATATGAAGGAAGCCTGGGTGGCGCGCAGTATTCGGTTGTCATCCGACTTCAGCAGACGATCTAGCGATCCGTGAGTTGAGCCTTTGTTCGAGGAGCTCCTGGGCTGATGGCTCAGAGCCTGGAATATTTCGATTCTGTGTCTCCCTCTCTCTCTGCCCTCCCCGTTCATGCTCTGTCTCTCTCTGTTCCAAAATAAATAAGCATTGAAAAAAAATTAAAAAAAAATAGTGGAAATAGAATGGGCACAGTCTGCTGGAAACACACCAAGGAAGCTGATTGAACCTTTAAGGAAGGCAGTGGTGGTGACAAGGAGAAGTGAAAGAGCACTTCCCTGGGGTGTTTTGGGATACAGGAGCTGCCTTGCAGCATTCAGAAACCAGTGTTGCTGGGCGAGCAACTCTCTGGCTTCCTTGAAATAACATGGGTTCCTGTTGAGTGTCAGTTCTGATTTACCAAAAATACAATGACGATCATTTTGCTCAGTGTCTCCACAAATGACTGAATTAGCTCAGGGTAGAGGGACAACTATTGTGTGTTCGGGGACAGACCAGAAGATTCAGATTTCAACAACTTGTTGCTAATCTCAAGTACTTCATCGGATTCAAAATGAAAAGCAATCGACTTGAGCCCATTTCTGAATCTTCTGTATCACTTTTTTTCTCGTCGGACGCCTAACCGACTGCGCCACCCAGGCGCCCCTATATTTCCACTATTTTAACCCTATTTCTTGCGTCTATCAGATAGGGAGCAGACTTCATAGTTTCCGGCTGGGAATAATCACCCCATTTGGTATGCCAGGATGCGCTATTCATAGACCAGACCCTACAGATGCTGCCGAACGCCTCTTGGGCCCTGTGTGGACTCCAGCTCAGAAGGGAGGGGCTCCCATTTCCAGAAGTTCAACCAGGTGCCACTGAATGTTCCAGGTGCAACAAGATGAAACCAGAAAAAGCATCCATCCTCTCTGTCTTTGGTCTAGATTTCTTCATGTGCTTGACCAACCAGTCCTAATGTAGGAACCATATACTTTTACCTGTTTTCCTCTGATTATACAAGTAGTTGATGTTCATTTGGAGAAAATTTGGAACTTTCAGAAGAGGATGAAGAAGAAATAAAAATCCCCATAATCTGAGACTCAGACTGCCCTTGTTCCTGTTCTGGAATTCAGGGGTGGGTTGCAAACCCAAGACCCCTGGGCCATTTTCATCCTGCAATAGTGGTTTGGCTCGGCCTCTGAACGCTGAGTTAACTGCCTTTAGGTGGAGCCTGTACGTTCTGGTTTACCTCAGTCCCCACAGCCTCGGTTACGTGTTTCCCCTGCCATTTCCATGGGTTCCCTGAAGTCATTTGAATTTATAAGTCAGCGCTCTTACCTAGAAATACTTTTTTTCAAAAAAGTCAATACTGGAATATTCGGGTACATAAAACTTTATGTCCTGCTTTCTTTCCCTAATTTTTTTATTGTGAGCATTATCTCCTGCCAGAAGTTCAATTATTCTTCAAGAGCATGATATTAAGGACAGGTTAAGATATACAGGGGCGCCTGGGTGGTTCAGTCGGTTAAGCGTCCGACTTCGGCTCAGGTCATGATCTCACAGTCTGTGAGTTTGAGCCCCGCATCGGGCTCTGTGCTGACAGTTCAGCCTGGAGCCTGCTTCCGATTCTGTGTCTCCCTCTCTCTCTGCCCCTCCCCTGCTCATGCTCTGTCTCTGTCTCAAAAATAAATAAAAACATTAAAAAAAGATACATTATATAAATGTATCATAATTTGTTTCATTCTTCTCCTATTCTTGGGTATATAAGTGGTTTCACGGTTTTTGCTATTACAGATTACACCATGATAAATGTCCTTGCTCGTACGTCTTTGACTACGTGTCTTCTTAGAGCAGATTCGCGGGCATGGGATTGCTAGGTCAAAAGGTATGACCCTTCTAAAGACTTTCCACACATGTTGCCAAATTCCAGTTTGTAACCAAATTACCCTACAGGTACGAAATGAAAGCATCTCTCATAGCTGTGTCACCAGCAACTCCTGCCAAGGGCTTGGCATGACATTGACACAACAGTGCGCAGGAAATGTTATTCGTTTCACTATCAGTATTGGGTATTATTGTTACCCAGTATTGGGTGACAATATTGTTATCAGTATTGGGTGTTATTGTTAAAACCTTAGCCAAGTTCATGGGCCAAATCGATCTTGTGCAAATTTACATTTATTACTTAGTGAGGTTCAACTTGTTGTTTTCTTCCACATGTTTACTAGCTGCCTGCATTTCTTCTGTGAAATTGTCTGCTACGCCTCTTCCCATTTTCCTATCAGGTACTCGTGGGTTTTCTTATTGATTTGTAAGAGCTTTCTATATATTACCTCTCTGTCACATTGGCTTTGAATTTCTCACGGATGCGATTCAAACATCTGGCTCCCACTCCAATTTATACAAACCACTTGAGAATGTGAGAGAAAGAATGAAAGAGAGACTAGTGAGGAAAAAAACTGGGGGAAGACAAGGAGGCCTTATCCTTATATAATAGAAAGCTGAATATATACTAGAAAATTGGGATAAATTCTCAGTGAATCTCAGGATAACAGAAGATGTCTTCCAGGTATAGGTGGAGGATTGTATGAGCCTCATGGGATGTTTCATGCACGGGGAACCTGACCTTTCATATAATATTCAAGGGTTTACTAGGACCATTGGCGCGGTGCAGGAGAGAAACTAACAGTAATTTGGAGCCTACTATAGCTAGGTGCTGGTCAGTGTATTACTTCCTTTAGTTATTACAGCAATACAGTGAGGTAGATTATATTATCTTTTATTGTTTTAAGTTTCTTTATTTTTATTATTTTTGAGAGAGTGTGAGCTAGCAGGGGAGGGGTGGAGAGAGGAGAATTCTGAGCAGGCTCTGAGCTGCCAGAACACGGAGCCCAACGCTGTGAGATCCCATGAACTGTGAGGTCATGACCTGAGCCAAAGTCAAGAGTCGGACACCTAACCTACTGAGCCACCCAGGTGCCCCTCGTTAGCATCATTTTAGGACAAGGGGACTGTAACCCAGAGGGGCTACTTGACCATCCCAGGCTCCAAGGCAGGGAGGAAGAAGACCTAAAATTAGAAGGGAGGTCTGCCCTTCTCAATAGGAGGTGTTACATCACTGGGGGCCTGTGACATATGGTTGTTGCAGGTTCACATATGCTCTAATTGCCCCTAATTCCAAGCCATCCAAACCACTACCCTGTTTGATATTTATAGGTGTCCACTGAAGTATATACCACATTTTAAAATAAAGCCTACTGTGTTCATCGGGTGGTGAGGAAGTGTGATGCTCAGTGGTTTCTCCAAGGGGAAGACTAGGTCCCTGGCGAGGTTGGCTGTCCAGTGTCACTTTCTTTGAGTCCCATGGAGACTCTTCGGGTCCTATTCCTTCTGCCATCACAGGGGAGGGTGATGTGGTCAGTGGAGCAACATGGCCTGGGCCTTTGGATGAATGCTCAGGACGGAAAGAGGACGTATCCACCAGACCAGGGTTTTGAAGGAAAGTGTGTATTTGCTTTGATGTTATTTCTTACACACTGAGATCTCAACACTCTGGATGGTGAGGCGAGAAGATCCCTGCGGGAGGTGAGCAGTCTGCCACCCACAGACCCCCCTCCCCGCCTCTTGGGCCAGGTGAGACAGCCCCAGACCTGCAGACTGCTTCTCCACCCCTTGTCCCCCACCACCCAGATGCCCTCTCCAGAAGCCGAATGGCTGGCCCCCACTCAAAACCATGCACAGTCATGCTTATGGAATAAATGGGAGAAAAAATAAAAACAAATTCCCCTGCCCTACCTTTTCCGGCCAGCCTCTCTCCGAGAAGGTAACTAGATCCAATAGTTTGCTTTCAAATCCTTTTAAGCATTTCATTTTAAGGTACACTGTCCTCCACATAAAATCCCAAGTGTCTGAAAACCATATGGAATTCACCAGGTAACCACACAAGTCTGTCCTCTCTGAGGACCAAGACGCATGGGTCCCAGGTCCTTACCTGGTCCCCTGAGGGCCGGCGACTTCACTGGCAGCTGCGATTTCTGTCTGCTCCTGTCCCCTGGCACTCTTGGGCTCTGCGTTTCTGGGCTGACTGTCAGTCTCCCCAGGTTTGGCCTCCTCTTCCTTGATAAAATTTGTGGTGCCTGGGCTGCTGAAAGGTGCAAAATCTTTTCAATAATTTTTACAGGGAAACAGCTTCTGCATAAAGAATGCTCCAAAGGCCCAGCAACGGGGAAGGCAGGTAAGGGACTGGGGCCCAGGTGGTCAGAGAAGAGCTGGATTTGAAACCTGGTTCTGTGACCTTGTAGCTGTGTGAAATTGGGCAGATCACATCACCCCCTTGCAGCCTCAGTTTCCTCCCCTATCAAATGGAAAATCATAATACCTACTTCGCAAGGTTGTTATCACTCACCGTTAATGAGCACCTGTGACACCTGCAAGCAGGGTCTATAAGGGGTGTGCCCTTCTGCTAAGATGCTTCTAGCGTCCTGTTCATAGATGTTGGGATGGGCATGCTGGGAGCCCTGTCGAGAGCCCTCTGCCGTTGGGACATGCAAAGGCCCTCTCTCCAGCTGCTCTTCCAAGGTTGAATCACAGCCTATTTTGTACCCTCAGGTTGTTTATTAGCAGCTAAGATGGCCTTCCAGAAAAGTTCCAATGTCTGGAATACCAGGTATACCTATTTGCTTGGCTATGTGCTGGGAGGATAAACTCACGGGAAAGACAGTAGTGGGAATGCTAACGTGGAATGAGTTCCCGATGACTTTTTTTTTTTTGGAAATTCACATTTTGAACTAGGTTGCTAATTGGTTTGAATAATCTCAAATGTCTTCTGCACATGTAGGAAGCGTCAGTGCCCGCGGAGTATGGGGCAAGCGTTTCAGTATTTTCCATACCTCTCTGCAAGTTCTTGAGTTTACAAGGCAGTTGAATTGTGAATATCTGAACTAGATCTTTCCAGGGGAATTTGCCTGGCTCATCCCCTCTTGGACAGTTCAGAAGTTTCACAAATAACCGTAGCCAGCAGGCAACACGGGTAAAGCTGGGAAGGTCCTTGAGTTGTGTGCGAGAGAGCAGCCGTTCTTGGCCTGCGGAGACAACTGGATTTATGTTCCAGAGAGTCAGTTGTGGTTTTTGTCCAGATTCAGGAAATGAATGAAAGTTCTTCCTGGCAGCTCACGAAGCCGAGTTTAATGCGATTAGGTACGGCCCGCTTCTCCTGATGGGCCCCAGGAGGGGAAGGCACTCAGTTCTGTGTCCCCAAGACGGAGGGGACCATGTTCTACTGGGGATTTGCGGAAAGAGGGGCACGGCCGGTGGTGGTGGCTCACGTAGGGTGAGCTGGTGGGGCCTGGAGGGGTTGCAGGTGTGACCGCAAAGGAGAGAAGGGAGTTCTCCAGAAGATGAGGATATATTCTTCAGAGGGTGTGGGGTGGTGATGAGACACAATTTCACTAACCTGGAGGAGAGTGAGAGGGGATTTACGCTACGGGAGCCAGGATGGAGGGGGGAGCGAGGCACTTTCTCAGCACCCAGATTGCTTTCCTGCAACCCATGGGTTTCTCCCTGGTCATCTAGGACCTCATCCCTCCAGCTCTCAGCAGTCAAAGACTGCCTCCTACCTCTCCCCTGACGGCCAGGGCGGGAGGCAATGGGGTTCCTACTGAAAAAGCAGCAGCTGGAGGGCCGAGGGAGGGGCAGTCTTGGGATTCAGGCCCCAAGGTCCTGGTCACAAGGATTGCACGTTGATGCCTAGCGGGAATCCCGTTAGAATCTTTGCATTTCCTTCAGAGCCCAGGGCAGCAGAACCTCACACTGCCCACTGCCCCATGCCCTCACCCCCCTCCACACCCTCCCAGGGTGCAGGGGTGGGGTCCTCCTCCCCAGGGGCCTTTCTGCCCCAGCCTGCCCCAGCTGGCAGGTCCTTCAAGGCCTATTTCCACTTTTATGCCCACCCACATGCTTTTATGCTCTGACTCTGCTTTGGCCAGAACTTTCAGGATTCCTAGGACCTTTAGCATTGAAATAGTCTAACGTCGCCCGAGGTATACATCTTTTCTCTCCTTAAGGATGAGGACCCTGTCTTAGCCTGCGTGTGGCCTGGTCTCCTTCAGGACAAAGAGTAATTGCTTAGTGTGATGTGCGAAGGTGCGTTCGGCTACCCGGCTACCCCGGGGGAGTCCAAAAGTAGAACGAACTTTTTCTTGTGCTAACCATCCAAGATGACTTAAGGTGATTTTGTCTTGTTCCAAAAAAAGCGCGCTTTCTTCGAAGCATCAGCTCTTTTAAATGATTTCCAGAAATGAGCCTGTCTGTCTCTAACCGAGAGTTTCAGCAGACTAAAGTAACAAAGCTGAGAACCCGGAGATGGTTTTACGAGGTCTGGCAAGCGAAGCTGGCAGGGTGGGCAGGAGCCCCTGACTTTGGGCAGGTTGGACCTCAGGCTCGGCATCTCTGAAACGGGAATATTCCTATGTTGCCGAGTTACTGCGACGTTTCACAATAATGTACGTAAATGGCCTCAGTGTCCGGTGCTTCTCGGCCGCTCTCAGTGGTTGTTGCAGCATGTGCCACAAACAGTTTACTGCTACTACTACTAATTGGGGATCTGAAGTCGCTCCCCGGAGAGAATTGCACTGGCCCAGAACGTGTTCTGCAGGTTTCATCCCTTGAGAATAACCTACTCGATAACCTTCATTTCTGTGCTGTTCTTGCCGAGCCGTCCTCCCTCAATCCTTTATAAAATCCAAAAGGCAAATAGCAACTCCCTATTATAATCTGCTCGACAAATACCCGTGTGCCTTTGCTATGTAATAATTTGAGGGTTCGCAAAGATGAGTAAGACAGTTTGGTCATGACCTTAAAAACTGTAATCCAATTTGGTGGTACTGCTGACTTCTTCCTTGTGATTACCCTCTCAGAGTCTATGGAAGGCAAACTCTTACAAAATATCCCTTTTCACCATCTGCCGTTGCAGGCACAGATGAGGTGACCTGGGCCGCACAGCTTCTATGCACCCTGTTTCCGGGTCCTACTCACCTTCCCCGTACCCAAATCAAACCAAACTTCAGACCTCTGGGGCCTTTCTAGCATGGTCCTCCCCGTGGCATGGTACAGACCTTAACCTACAGAGAGACCCAAGTTAGAGTCACACTGGAAGAGGAAGGAAATAGAGCTTCCTCTTCAGGTTGGAGGACAGACCCGTTGCCTTGGAGAGAAGGCATTTGTGCTCAGCAGTCCCATTGCTGCCACTCAACACCCTGAAGTTTGTTAGTGAATTTGGGGAAGACTGGTTTGCTTTGCACTGGACCCTCTTCTAGTGTCTGAGCGAGGCGATGCCTCCAGGGACAAAGAAACCAAATGGCTGTTTCGATACAAGGTGCCTGTCCTAGTTCTCTTGACGATGCTGGGATGCTGTAATTGTTGATTGAATAGTTCTTAATTTGACTAGAGGGGAAAAATGTAGTAATCTCCTATTTACCCAAGGCCCTGATGACTGAGAACCAAATCCACTTAATCGTGCATGTTGATTCCATGTGCCTCATCATTGCTCAGTTCTTTACATGCTTGCCAGACACAGACACGGTTCTTGATAGACCAGGTCGAAGAGAGAGAAAAATACAACTCCTAAACCTTTACTCCCTCCCCCTGTCTTGACAAGGAGGTGCCAAGATTCTGTCTAAGAGATGCCTTCTTAAAAAAATGTCTTGCTTCCTTTACTCTCTCAACATAAATAAATAAACTTAAAAAAAAAAAAAAAAGGCTTGCTTCCTTTAGATCGTGGGAAGAATTACAGCTTAGTCGCAAGGGCCAGTGTTGCCCTGGAGTAATAGGCAGCTTTCTGTACACTCACAAATAACAGGCCGCGTCGATTTGCCTATTTGGGTGTGCTGGAAATGTGTGCTGTCTCACATACCCAGAGGAGATCTTAATTAAAGCTTAATTATGTACCATAAATATGTTTTATTTTGGAGCCCAGGAGGTGGGATTTTTTGATTTTGGGAAATGTGGTGCCTAATAAGTAGGCAGGAAAGGGAATGTAAACAGTGAGTGAGCCCTTTAATTTGTCCCCTTTCGGCACGGTTCTGCGGGGCTTCTCAGTCCCAGCGTGTGCCTTGGGAAGGGCCTGCCCACCCCCCCCTCCCCGCGCCGCCCTCTCGGGGCTGCCATCGGACACAGGAGGGCCTGCTCTGTTTCTGGGCGTCATGTTCCAGAGTGTGCCAGCCACGGGAGCGAAGAAATCAGATGAGTCTCGAGAGAGGACGGGATTTTATTGGTTGCTCACGCCTTAGCGCTACGAGGAGGTCGAGTCAAGTGGCAGCTGTCTGGTCTTCCTGCTCCCCTGCACACCTCACCGCCTGGGTGTTGCTCGTGACCTTGCCCTCCGGCCCCCCACCTCTCCACCTGCCTTCCGGAAGCCCGAAGTCCCCCTCTCCCTGACTCCTCTGTGCTGTGTGCCCAGCCGAGGGCGACTTACCACACGAGGTAAATCTTACTGGGCCTCCTGGGGCCCGGCAGACACAGCACAGGGGTCTCCGCTGGGGTCAGGCAGGACACGGGGAAGTAACACAGGGTGGCCGGGGACTGGGGCACGGGGCCCGGGGACAAGGAAGAGGGGTTGGTGAAGGAGGGAGAGGGGGCAGGAGGGAGCTGGGGGAAGGGGTCCTGGGCCACCGGGGAGGCTGGCGGCAGGAGCGGCAGGAGGAGGCAGCAGGAAGTGGTATTGGGCTGCGGGAAGGGGGAGAAAGCGAAGACAGAGCAGTAAGGGGAATATTCAACACAGAACAGGGGGTGCTCGCTGCTGTCACCTGCACAAAAGAAAAAGAGCAATCAGGAGGCAGCACTCACGGTGGGAAAGCCTGTGAATGAATCAGAACACAAAGAGGGTTCTTCGGGCTGGCCTGTCCAGGTGTCAGAGGGGTGGCCGATGGGATCTCAAAGTCACCCGAGAGTTAACTGAGGGACACGGCCTCATCATCACACCCTCTTCCAGCCAATAGTCTCTGGCGTCCCTGACAGACGCCGGAAAGTTCTTCCCCCACTAAGTTCCTGCGTGGCAGCGCGGGGTCCCTTCTCCGCCCCCACGGCCAGTCTAATTAGCTGTGCCCGCAGCAACATACGGTGGCTGGCAGGGTCTCACCTCGGTAAGGC